AAATGAGTACGGGAAACCATCTATTCCAGGAGCAGAGTCCTTGACATGGTTCAGAACTGTTTCAAGTTCTTCTATAGAGAACGCTACGTCAAGAGGATCACGAGTCCGTGTTAAGTTCCCTAATTCGCACTCTTCCTCTCCAGGGACATATGTGGGAGCAACGCTTGAAAAGAAACGGTGGCACAGATTTTCTGGTAACATGGGAACAGAAGGTGGTCTTGTGGAGTTTCTGAAACTTTTGACTTTTCGCCAGACAGTGGTTATTGGAGTCGATGGATTCAAGGCACTGCAAAATTTTCGCCAGCCTTGTCGTTTCTTTTTTTTCAGTAGTTTCCTTGACCTTGCCAATATTTGCTTGAAAGATATGAGATTACCCAGGCTCATGTCACGGTTATACGTCTTTTCAGCTTCATTCCTGGCCCTAATCACGGCAGTGCAGTCACTATCCCACCACGGCGGGAGAGGAATTTTGCCTTTCGGCGGATTTTTGGTTGGGAAACAATCTGCAGCTGTGGTAGATATTGTTTCCGAGAAGCCGGAGAAGCATTCTGGAGCGTTCCCAGCATGGATATGTGGAAGGGAGGAGATACGGAAATCTAGCAGTTTGGAATAAAGATCCCAGTCCGCTGATTCTAAGCGGTATTTTAATAATGGAGGGAGGAATTTATCAAGGGTGGGAATGGAGTGGTTTGTGACTATGATGGGATAGTGATCACTACCATAGGACAGATCCAAGCGCCTCCAGTCCAGCATGCTAGCTATGTTAGGAGAACAAAAGGTCAAGTCGACGCAGCTGTTCCTTTGGCCAAATGCAGACCTTCGTGTAGCACTGCCATCATTTATGATACATAGATTAAGCTCGTCTATGATCTCTAATAATTCTGTGCCTATACTGTCACACATGTCTGAACCCCATCTGTAATGATGACAATTAAAATCACCCATTACTAGTACTGGGCCCCTAACAGTATTTAAAAAATTTTTAATTGACTGTAAATGACTAATGTGTGGGTGTGCAATATAAAAAGCAAAAATGTTTATATCCTCAACCTTAACAGCAACAACATTTATGTCATCACTAACAAAGGGTAGAGGAATATTAGAGTACGGTACTTTGCTATTAATAAACAAAGCACAGCCTCCATAACCATCTGGTCTATCATACCTGACACTGCTAAAACCCGGCACCCGGAAATTAAAATCCGGACTAAGCCATGTCTCAGCAATGCCACACACCAGAGGTTTGTACCTATTTATTAAATGGAGTAGGTCAGTTTTCTTCGGAAGAATACTCCTCGCGTTCCATTGAAGGAATGTTAGGGGATGGAATGTTACCAATATATTGTAGAATGTTGGACAGTTTAACGGCAACGTGGTCAGGTATGTTTTGTGTAGGATTTTCTAATACTGCCATAAGCATATTAGTGATGAGATTTAAAACATTTTTAGGGTTACGGTTGTTTTCACCCTCCAAAGGGTAGGCGCAACCATTTTGTGATGGGGAAAAGGAATAGTTATGGATAAGAGCTCGGTGAGCTTGCTTATCATAACTAGGAGTCAGAGGGGCATGGGATTTAGGTTTTAAAAAGACAGTTTTACGGTAAGATTTGGGAGTTTGGGGAGTATTATTATTATGTTGGGGCAGTTTGGGTTTAGGTTGTTGTAAAGATTTTGAAACCTCTGCATATGACCTCTTGATGGTGGGAAAGACCTGACTCGCTTCTGCATATGATATGGATTTTTCCGCCATGAGGGCCTTTATACTCCTCTGACGGCCTAGCTCAGGGCAACCTTTGCTATTGGCAAAGTGATTGCCATGACAATTGACACAGGTTGCAATGTCATCTGAAACCAGACAACCATCACCAGGATGGTCCTGACCACATCTGAAGCAACGAGGCTTTGAGCGGCATAAGGTACGTGTGTGTCCAAAGCGGCAGCAGTTAAAACATTGTACCGTGGGATATGTGTACTTTTCTACTGTAAGAGCAGTGTAAAAACAGTAAACTCGTTTTGGCAAAATTTGACCGTCAAATGTGAGGACAACCGTTTGTGTAGGTTTCCACTCTGAACCATCAGAGGAAACAACTTTTCGGTTCATTCTCCTTGCCTTGATAACATTGCCACATCCAGAGGGGACCCTGATATTTTCAACAATTTCCTCCTCAGTGCAGTCTACGGGGACATCTCTAACAATACCCATACGTGTAATGTTAAACAGTGGAATGGAAGTTATATAATTATGTTGGGCTACGACTCCATTAATTAAGAAGCTGTTAGCGTCTTGGTGTGACTTAAATTCCACTGAAATTTTATTTCGTCCTAATCTTTTGACACCATCCATCCGTACATTGTTTATGTTGTTCTTCATTAAGAACATGCCAAATTTCACAGGGTGTAGTGTTGTGCCTGAGGTTTGCGAATCTCTCAAAGCAACATGAACAATATACGGTGGAGCATCATTGGGTGTGTAGCACTGCCTTCCGTTAACTTTTGCCACTTTGGGTGGGTTAATTACAGTAACTGGGGGAGATTGTGCAGGTCTTTTTCTATTTGAAATATTTTCTGCATCCATGGCATCATTTCCGGGGTTGGGGAGGGTAACAGTCATTACAGGGGTGTACTCGAATAGTTTATCTGGAGGGTCGGGAGGTTTTTTAGCCTCCATATTAAAAACAAATAAAATTAAATACTCTTAGTATTAGGGGAAATTTTACTCACCTTACCAATAGTTTTTTAAAACAAATATTGGACAATCACAACACAGAGGTGGTTTCAACTTATAATTCAATAAAATAATATTTAAGTTGAAAAAAAACCTCGTGGCACTGACAAAAACACCTATGTCCTTCACCACTACCTACGAAGCCTGGTGTCTCTACATGATTATAAGTTTTCTAGAGTCATGCTCGTATGACAAGCTTTTTTTTTATATCCATTAATTCAGCTAGTTTTAAATAAACATAACAATAAAATAATGTGAGATTATAGAGAGCTGTTTAATCAGTTTATAGTAATTATGCTTTAACTCCTTATTACTTTATTACATGTAGGTTTGTTTATTATGATAAAAGTAGAAGAAATACTTAGTAATAGTTCATGATCTCAAACTGCAGTTGCATAAGTTCTATTGTTAAAAGAGATATTTGAGTCTACGAAATTATGTCATACTAGCTCTCACGCGTGGTTTCACCCGCTGCTCGGCTCCTACAGATCGTAGCGTGATGTTTCATAGCCTATAGCACTCAGGAACATTGTAGGTTGATTACCTTACTTGCAGTTTTTGATATATTAATTTTCATGATTGTTTTCTATTGAAGTGGAACTATAAAAGTAGATATAAGTATATCTTTATGCCTTTTAACAATATTTAATTAATTTAGTTTTAAATAATATGAAAAAAAAAACAGAAAATTTAATTTAGTAGTTTTTAATACTTAAAAAATGCCTCTTTATTGACGCCTTCAGACGTCGGTGGCCTGTTTCGTATGTCGGCTGTAGCCGTACGTGACGGTCAAAAGGTTAATGTAAAATCTGAATATATGTATATGCTGGTACAAAATCGAATTACTGCAACACTGATGCCACTAGCCTAGTCTGCCCTACCCTAAAGTATATTTTATCATCGCGGCGGCGCATATTGGCGAATCTACTCGCGGGCTGAGAAGCTAGCGTGAGCCCGCCATAGGCCCGCAGCTCCGAAACAGTTTCAATAACATTCCTACTAAATTTTGCACCCATGTTTGTATGCTATGCTATATGATTTCATTACATGCAGAGCGCTTAGTCGATTGTAAATACATTTATGCTTTACAATGTTATGCCTAATAAAATTGTACTGGAACAAACATTTGTGAATCACACAGAGTTTCCATGCGGAAATCGAACTAGTGACACATTGCGCGGTACCCAGCCCAGCCGTCGCACCAACCATGCAGTCTACTTTGTATGCTATGCTATATGATTTCATTACATGCAGAGCGCTTACTCGATTGTAAATACATTTATGCTTTACAATGTTATGCCTAATAAAATTGTACTGGAACAAACATTTGTGAATCACACAGAGTTTCCATGCGGAAATCGAACTAGTGACACATTGCGCGGTACCCAGCCCAGCCGTCGCACCAACCATGCAGTCTACTTTTTAGTTTGGAATTATACATTGGGTATGTTAAAAAAAGAGATGCATCAGTTGCGTATGTTATGCATAAATATTAATATTTGTATTACATTTGAGATATTTTTCTTAGCTTTATGCCCACTATTTTATTCAACAGACAGCAGACTCGTACTGAGCAAAATTCACCCCGGCCAGGGCCGCAATACATGACCAATATTTCTCAAAATCCGGGCAGAAATTTACCAAAACTTAAGGATATATATTTTTCTTGTGTGGTTTAAATGATTATCTTATTGAAGGCCTACAGTAAGCAATTTTTTTTTATTAATATACAGTTCTTTTGGATATATTTTTATTATTAAATGTATACCTAAATGTGCAACATTTTGTATGCATAAACAAAAACAAAATATGTACTTTAAACCCCAAGAGCATCAGGAAATACCCTTCTAATATATTAATTTAACTAGTGTATGGATTTTGAATCATGTGGATTGAATGGAATTAAGCTAATTTAAATAGAGAACTTAATATCAAAATAAATCGGTTCTATTTTGGCTACTACCATAACCTGCCTACTTTGAATGGGATTTTACTGCATACACTTACATACAAACACATACATTACTCTAATTTGAATAGGAATGTTACTATTCCGTATATAAATTAATGTTTTTCTAAACACAGGCAAGGTTGTCGCAAAACTTTTATTTTGCAGTGTATATTTTTGATAAAGAATTGCGTTGCAAAACGCTGCTTTTTTTTGATAATAACTATAAAATCTTTTGTAGAAAAGGTAGGCGTTAGTGGTAATGTACAAAGTTTAATTCATGAATCACTGTTCATACATAGAAGTTTAATAGAACATTTTGCTCACCTAATAGAGGTCTTCTAGGATCGTCAGCATCCATGTTGCCTTCGTTATAACATCTCTAAGCACGTGATACTCTCAAGTTCATGTCATTTGAATAATCTTATCAATTAATGATAGAATTACATTATTTTGTTATTGTTTACAATTGGATTTCATTTCATTCTTCGACAGTATTTTAACGTCTGTCATTGTCACTTTTGTTTGCTGTCACTGCGATTGTCAGATTTTGTGTTTGGATACGTACAACGAGATTATTTAAGACCGAAACACATATTTTGGTGGTAATAGAAAGATTTTTAGTCTTTAATTTTTTACAGAAATATTATATAAATTTTGCTAAGTAAGCAACTAAGTAAAATAGTTATAGCAATCTGGTTCCAAACCTAGAATATTCAAAATAACTTTAATAACTTTTACGGGTGTTAACAAATGCGCATTAACGAACATTGTTTTAATAATTTACAGAAATCAAAACTTCAAAAAAAAATATTTCCTAAAAATTAAAATATTAAATGTTATTGTTTTTTTTGTAATATAATTTCATACATATTTAGTTTTTTGTATAATACAACTTCACATTTTATAAATACAACAAATATCCAGAACAAACCTACTGATAACCTTAGAAATGATAACTGGGCAGAAATGTAGTAATTTGCCTAATTATACCAATAAATAATAGTTAACAATCAAAACATGTATTAAACATCAATGATCTGAAAGTGGGTCGGCTGTGGGGCCTGGATCCTAGTCGTAGATAACCCAAGTTCGTATTATAATCTACTGACTATAACTAGTTTAGTTACTAGGGGTCGTATTAGACACAAACGAAAACTCAAAAAACTTAATATAAAAAAGATTGATTATGTGACATTAAAAAATATATTTATTTACCTAATAAATTAGTAAGCATGCGAACTGATGCAGAATCTAGTAGATTACTGTTGTGTGTAGAGCGCCTGGTACTTTTACCTGCGCAATCCGCATAAATGAAGAGTTTTGTTGTCGCCTGTCTATAAATAATGTTTATTAGTTTAGTCTCACTCTTTCTCAGATATCACACTTCTTTTTGTCCCACACAAGGTGAGAAGAGAGAAGTAACGTCATTTGATGATTCGCCCTTAAAAACAACGGTTTGTAAGGGCATTCATTACCTGCTCTTAGCGGCAGTTTTTTCGCCAAAACTAAAAACGATGGTAATAGCATAAATAAATTGAATCTGTTTGTGATTGATAGCACTCGTGTTTTTTATAAATTAAATGTACCTAATTAATTTTTGTAAGATATCAAATGTAATGTATTAAACACTGATAAAGTTGCTAAGTTATTAGTTAATTAAAGTGCATAAATACTTACACGGTACCCGGTGCCCATAACACGAGTAAAATCATAATTAGATACGAATATCTATAATATCACGACAGATGATAAAATGTGAGAGTAAGTACCTACACAATGAGAGGTTGTTATAATAACAATTATAACCAGAGACATAACAAACGTTAAAAGTGCGATGATTTATTAATGAAATAATTGATATAGTTTTTCGTTTATCTAATGTTAAAAGAAAGTGATTGCTGGTAGATAATATTATGTAAATGGATACATTCTTGGATTATGTAGCTAAATGTGAAGAATTTTGCCCTATAGGTAGTTGTAGGTAGTCATGACTCAATATTACATTCTTATCGTAAAATTGTAACACACAAACACAGTTGTTTTTGTTATTTGACATAATTATTTTGTTTCGGAAAGTTCTATTTCCTTGAGATTGACCTACATAATATGAATAATCCTTATTTCACTAATTAAATCCTGGCTACTTCTAATAACAATCCCATTTATAAAGACTAAATTGAGCGTTACGTAGGTACCAGAGGAGCAGAGTAGCCCTAGAACATCCTCCATACATCATCGTAACAATTAATAATAATGACTGTGACGATTACAAAATAGGGTCACTTCACTCACGTCACGCGTCATAATGTTCGATCAACACAAACAAAACATCTCCACCGACAACTGTGCGCCTGGTGCAAAGGTTCCGTGTATTACATCAGACACACATGTAACCGAGGCGAGGTGCATAGGCTGGGTGTGTCTATGTGTTACACCGTCCCACACCATTGACCATACCTCACAATGGGATGTAAAATAAAGGAAAACTATATAATATAACATGTAAAATACAATGCAATCAAATGCGTATCTATGTAGAAATTAAAAAACTTGTTGTCTATTTATAGATTAACACCTTTCCAATTTTAATTTATTTAATGTGTTTTAACTCCTCTAAGGATGTTTATGTCCAATATTATTATTCTAAAACAACTTCAAACCCTCTAATTCTAATTATATTATTATTAGGTAGGTAGGTAGGTGCTTGTTCCAATTATGAAACTGGTGTATGTTTATCGTCTTCGACTTCAAGATAAAAGTTACTGGATGCAACAAGTTAACGACAGCCAAGAAACTGGAACTAATCAGTTTGGTACAAGAAAGCCCTTGGTTATCTACTATTGGGTCATCTAAAAGTGTATTTAACATGTGATTTGCTAGGCACGTACAGGCATAATATTTATTATCTAGATAACATTTATACTTAGGCTTGAGTTTGGCTAAAATTTTACCCGAAGTGTGTTGAATAATGAACAATTCTCACTACAACTGGTACCTAGGTATGATAACTGAAAAAAAAAAGAAAAAAGTTATTTAAAAAAAGCAAAAGCACGCCACACACAATACAACCGAAATCGACAAATATACAAATAATGTGATATTAAGTCAGTATAATCAGTAAAGGTAGGTACTTAAACAACTAAAGAAGGTGGAGGCATAAATAATTACGCCCATGTTCTTCCTAACGTATATATTCCAAATTGTATTTGGCACAATGCTTAACATTTCTGGAATTGCATCTTTTGTCTTAAGCATTTAACCCGCTATGAAGTTACCAGGCGACAAGCATGAGCTACCAAAATGTTTATCGAAACATTACAAAGCTAAAGTGAGATAAACCATGTTATTTAAGACGGTCATCATAGTATTAAAACGATGATTTTTCCAAACTTAGAAAAGACTTTCCTTTTTTTTTTAAGACATTTCGTGCAAAATAGAACCAAAAAGAAGGCAAATATCATAAGTATAACGGTACAATATTGATAATAATTAATACAGTTTTTCGACACCGAAATGTAATAAGTATCTACTTATTCACAACCTAGTTTAAAACAAAGTCGCTTTCTCTTTCCCTATATCCCTATATGCTTTAATCTTTAAAACTACCCAACAGATCATTATACGTTTTTTTAACCAATAGAGTGATTCAAGAATGCTTTACATCGGGCACGCTACTATAGCAGCGGTAAGACGAGTTGAGGAGTGGCTTGAGAGACGCCATGGCCTCCTCACCTTCCGTCTGACGCAGGTGCTTACCGGGCAGGAGAAGGAACAGGAGGGTTTTTAGTCAGTAAGAGTCTGACAATCCCTCCAAGTCAATTGACGTCATTTCCCCTCCACAAAAAAAAAGAATGCTTTATATGCATAGTAACATCCACTAAATAGTGGAGAGTCGAGTACCAGCATTGCTCCCGTGCGAAGCCGGGGCGCTAGTTAATATATGTACCAAATACGGTTTCTTTGACACCGCATTGCAATATAGTAAATACTACTTACAACTGATTGTATTGTAGTGAAATAAAAGGTTGTGTTCTACCTTATTCTTTATAATTCTACTAGGAATACAGGAACTACCTGCTAGTTACTCATAAAAAATACGGGAGCAGCCCCTCGCGCGTCAAGTTCTCCTGCAAGCCATTTTCTATGTTGCATCAGTCGTCGGGCGTTACTCGTTTGCTTCTAATCAAATCTCTACGATGTCGGCAAGTTGCTACACTAGGTACTATTTACATTTCGATACGGCTAGAGTAAACAAACAGTTCATTTCATCAGATTAAAACATTCCAAAAGAAATTAGGTATTTTGAATACCTACTAAAAGGTAGGTAATATGATTCAGTTTCAATGAAACAGCTTGTGATCAAATTAGATTTATTATATAAGGTTATTTCAACTATCAATTAACATTTTTTAGGACTAAGCGTCTACCAGCGGCTTCGCTCGTTAACCTAATGAAATGCTAAAAGCCTATGTTTTATTCCAAACTATGATCTTAGATCTAATGCATCAAAATCTAAGTATTCTGAAGATTTTGCGTGAAAACGTACCAAACCAAAAATGCAATAAATAATATCTACTTAATATTTGTAGAATTAGATGGTAATGAACAAAAACACAAACAACAACATCCAAATTGCAGTTAATTTTCGACATTTAGAAATTTTCAGTATTTATTGAACGAATTAACTACAAAATTGGAGATTGATGCATTTAAATTAAATTAGCATAAAAATAATTTAATTTTAAAATTCGTTTACTCAAGAAAATTGTAACCACTGTAGAACAAACTAGATAAAAAAAGATAGAGAAAGCTACATTGTTTATATCGCTATCTCATTCTCACAGGGAGGTGTCTAATGCAAGATGCAAGACACTTGTCTAGTTTCGTCAGACATTAAGCTGGCTTTGGCTATCTAGCCAAATCAGGTGGAGCCCTTTCAACTGCCTTCAGCACGCAAAGTTAGCAGAATAGTAAATAGTATTAGAGATCACGTTAATCTAGCTACCAGGCTCGCAGCAATAAGTTAATGTAGGACATCATGATCCCAAGATTGCTAATAACTACGGTTTTACGAAATTTTCTGTTGATTGATAAGAAGTTATTAATGTAGGTATAGTATGTAAGGTACTGGGATGTGGTCATGTAAGAAAATCTATACACAGATGCCTAAATACTAAATAAGTTTGCACGTACGACTTCAAGACTCGATTGGAAGTAATATAAAATACTTAATAGAAAAGGAACTTCATTATTTTTAGGTGAAATAAAATTTATAAACTATGTATGTCATAGGAACACAATAGAATAAACTTAAATGTATTTTTGATGTTCCTGCAAAATGTCACTTTTTCTGTTTCAAATTACTGATTATGTATTTATTAATTTATTTTAGTCTAAGTAGCAAATAATAAACAGTTGTCTTATTAAATAAAATAGATATTTCTTCGCTTTTCCAAGGCGTTCTATTGATGTTTTAACGCGGCATGCGTGTGCGCTGACAGTAAATAAAACCGCATAGCGC